CATGACGCAGCAGCAGTAAACATGTTATATGTCACAGACGTGACGCAGCACCAGTTTTAGTAATCATTTAACGTTTGTCTTCAGGCCAAGATCAAGGCAAGAGACCTGCGGGGCAAGAAGAAGGAGGAGCTGCTGAAACAGCTGGACGACCTGAAAAATGAGCTGTCCCAGCTCCGAGTGGCCAAAGTTACTGGAGGAGCAGCGTCCAAACTGTCCAAGATGTGAGTGCCGCTGGACACGGCTTCGTGCCAGCAACTCTTCACTCTGACTGCAGAAACCTACTCGTGGTTTTTGTTGACCTGTTGTTGTTGATGTGTAATGAAGTAAACGGTTTATCCCTCTGCTGCGTCACACTGTCTGCTGTAAAAGACTAAATATTGTTGCTAAAATCTCAACGTCAGGAGCATGGCGCGTACGAACACCTGTCCAGATGTTCGCGTGGTGCGTTTGGGTCTCTCCAGGAAATGAGCAGATGTTACTTTAACGTTGAAGGTTTGTAGAGCTTCAGGTGGAAATGTGGACAGAAGAGGTTCAGATTTCAGAGGAACGGTGTGTTCAAGGCTAATCCAGAGCGTGGGACTCTGCAGCTCTGCCTGTGCTGCTTCACGGTTTATCCTTCAGTTCAAGTGGTTTGAGTTTTATCACTCCCTGCTACAAACGTGTAAGAATGCTGCTTTTGCTTCCTGTTTTACTCTGAAACTGGTTTTCTCGTGCTTGCTTGTGCCTGTGCACGTTGGTGCGAGTGGTCCTGGCAGCTGAATTAAGATGTGAATGAAACGTGCAGGCGGCTCGCTCGCCAGATTAACTTTATTAAAGTTCTTCAACTTCTTTATTTGATCCTGATAAAGATTCAGGGCTCGTTTTCAGACTTGGTCAGAAACCAGTTTGGATCATCTTTTGTTAAAACGACGGCGTCGTGGAAGAACAAATAATGAGCACACAAACGCAACATTTCAGAGTAAAAGCAGTGATCTGTTTCCTGCCACACCCTTTCACAATAAATGAAGTTCACGTGTTTTTCCACAGCCGGGTCGTTCGCAAATCCATCGCCAGAGTTCTGACTGTGATCAACCAGACGCAGAAGGAGAACCTGAGGAAGTTCTACAAGGTGAGGAGAAACCCCCCCCCCCCCACACACACACACACACAGACAGACAGACACACACAGACACGCACACACACACACACAGACACGCACACACACACACACAGACAGACAGACAGGAGGTCAGGAGTGGTGGCTGCAGGCGCTCTTACAGAATGACCGCCTGATAAATATAAAAGCTGTGAGTTCCTGGTAGAAACCAGTGCAGACGTGTTCCTGGTTTGTTTTCTGCATCCCAACTTACAACCAGCTGTGTCGTCCTTACACTTTAAATACATGTTGTTTTCACTTGTCGTCAGTTTGTACACATCCTTTGTGATTGTTGTTGTTGTTTATGATTGTTTGTTGTTGTTTATGATTGTTTGTTGTTGTTTATGGTTGTTTGTTGTTTATGGTTGTTTGTTGTTGTCGTCTCTTTGTTCCAACCAGGTGTCTCTTGTAAATGAGTCCCCGGGGCTCAGAGGGACTAACGTGTCTAAGTAAAGGTTGAATGAACAAGTATAAGTTTAAATGATATTTAAATGTTGCAACAAAAGAGGAAAACAAAAACATTCACTTCTTTAAACTTTGCAAACCCAAAGTGTGCTGTTTATATGTTTGTTACTAAAGTATAATGTCACCTGAAGGTAAATCAAGTTTCAGCTTAAAACGTGAACATAAAATAGAATCAGTTGTTAAATAAATTAACTGTTTATTTAAACCTCTTCAGGTGCCAGGCTGCTCATAGAAATGACCTTTATTTTAATATTCTCATTTTAGGAAACGTGATTCAAGTATGACTACATTTAAAATTTATGATATACAAATAAAAACATTACTTTCTGCCAAGACGGTCATTTAAAGTACGATGGGAAAACCTTCTGGTGGAGAGTTGTGAAAACGTGTAAATGAAGTATTTGCAGTAGAGTAATAAAGTAGTCCCTCGCTGCTTCACGCTTCGTTTATCGTGCACTCGCTCTATCACGGTTTTTCAAAATGAGATTGGACCCGACACACAAGTGTCTGATGGATGGACGATCGGCATGGGGTTTTATTCAAATGAATGACTTCAGATTATTTGGTACCTCCTGCAGCTCTTACTGGGGGACAAACTTCCTGCTGCAGCTGATCAGCTGGTGCAGAGCATAGAAGTGGGCGTGGCCACGAGCGCTTGCAGGTGGCAAAGAGCAGCGGAGGCAGAGAGCTGAAATCATGAGTTTAGAAACATTTGGAACATTGCAAGAGTGGGAAGGACTTAAAACACCTCGTATCTAAATACTAAAGTAAACTATTGTACTATTCCTGCCTCACGGTTTTTCAGTTGTTGCAGATGTTCAGGGTACGGATGTCCGCGATGAACGAGGGACTACGGTACAGACTTTTAAAGTGTCTCATAAAACTGATCAGCACCAGTTGACCACCATTAACTGATGCTGCTGTTACTAACTGGGCAGCTGTGGCTGACTGGTTACAGCAGTCGTCCTCCAATACAAGAGTTGGGGGTTCAATTCTACCAGCAGGCACATGCTGAAGTGTCCCTGGGCAAGACACTGAACCCCTCATCGCCTCTGTGTGTGAGAGTCACAGATTGTTGTAAAGAGCTTTGATCAGACAGAAAGGTGCACTCCGTTTACCTGCTCAGTAACAGGAAGTGATGTCACAGGTCGTTGTCACAATGGTGAGCAACAGACGGTAAAGAAGAATGTGACATTTGTTTAGACCACAGGTGTCACCCTGCAGGCCTGGAGGGCCGGAGTCCTGCAACCTTTAGACGGGTCTGTGATAACACACAGCTGAATCAAATAAGGAGAGCAGGACTTTGGAGAACTTGACTGCTCTGAGAAGTTAATTCAGTCGGATGATTGAGCTGTGTGGCACCAGGGACGCCTCTCAAAGTTGCAGGACCGCAGTCCTGCAGGACTCCAGGCCTGCAGGACTCCTGCAGGTTGACACCTGTGGTTTAGATGAATTTGAAAGCACTCTGTGTGTAGAGACACACACCAGGGAGTTGTGTTGTCACTTCCTGTTTACTTACAGACTGGTGGTGACCTCGTCCTATTATGTCCATAAGTACAGACTTGTTCCTGCGGTTGCTGTGGCAACTGAACAGAGCAGCCAACCCCCCCACGCTCTGAGGTAGGGGCACAGATTAATGACGTTTGATTCACCATCTTCAGCCCCCACTCAGAGTCCACCCGGGCACCTGGTTTTATTCTTTCTGCAGGACTTGGACAGAGTAGCAGCTGAGACCATTTGTCATCAGATTTTAACCCCCCAGTTTACAAGGAGCCGCTGCAGGAACACGTCGGCTGTCGGAGAAAACAAAATGTTTTCCTGCTCGACTGAATCTCTGCTCGATGTCTTCCAGGGTAAAAAGTACAAGCCCCTGGATCTGAGACCCAAGAAGACCCGAGCTCTGCGGCGCCGGCTCAACAAGCACGAGGAGAGTCTGCGCACCAAGAAGCAGCAGAGGAAGGACCTCCTCTACTCCGTGCGCAAATTTGCTGTCAAAGCTTGAGGGCTGTTGTGTTGACAAAATAAAATGTGGTTAAAGCGTTTGTTGTAGCAGCTGCAGTCGCTCCTCTCACCTGACTTCTCTCTGACCCTGTCCCACAATGTGCACATCAAATCATTTCTGCACACCTCAAGCACAGCTGCAACCAGATGTTTACATACACTGGAAGAACCATCTTGGTCAGTGTGACAGGAAGTAGAACTAACCCTTTCCTGTTTCAGCTCAACACTTGTAGGGATCTCATCTGGTGAAGTCCTGAGTATTGAATTTTAATTACATCAAAGTTGACATATTTGGTACCGTTGCCTTTAAACTCTCATCTTTTTAGCTCCGCCCACAAACTGGATTAATCTTTAATCCTCTTTAGTAATTCGGCAGAAAACTGCTTCACATTTTACATCCACACAAGTGGATCAGAACGTTCTTTGGTGTTTCTACAGAGCTGCTTCAAAGTTTGAAGTGTTTCTGCATCGTATGATCTAAAACAGTTTCACACAAGTCCTAACAAGAAGAGAACCCAGTTCAACTAAAATACTTGATCATTTATTTATTGAGGACGATGTTAAACATCAGTGAGTGGTAAAAGTATGTGACCCTCAGTTAATTTGAAGGTGAATGTAGAGTCTGGTGTTTCCAATCGATGGATGGTGATCAGGTGTGAGTGGTGCGCATCTTGGAGACCTCCAGTTTTCAGTGGGCATCACAGCTGGAACCAGTTGTAGCTTCACATGTTCAGACGGCACAGCTGGAACCAGTTGTAGCTTCACATGTTCGGACGGCACAGCTGGAACCAGTTGTAGCTTCACATGTTCAGACTGCACAGCT